TAATCGCAACCGGGAAGTTTTCCTACTTGTGCCCTCCCGATTCTCTCCCCCATCCCACCGGAGGGGGCGGGTGAGCGAGCGGCTGCGTGGAGTTTGTTTGCTGGCTGGGGTTAAACCACGACACCTTGTCTGGCCCTCTTTTGAGGACAGGTAGAAGATGAAGAGCATGCTAGGATGCGCTGTTGATGGCTGCGTGTGGACAGTGTTGCTGCTTTTATACAACCCTGCAGGTTCTGTGGGATTGAGGGAGGCTGTGCCTCATTGACCTGGAGCCCTAGCAGCCTTTGGGAGAAGGATGGTTGCTCAATTTGGGGGGAGGACCTTTGGAAAGGGTCAGCCTTAGAAAACAAAGGAATTGTGCTCCTTTCAGCCTTTCCCAAAACCTGAGTGGCCAAAAGTACTCCCAGCCCTGGCTAGTCTGCTACTGTGGGCATGCTAGTGCTTCTACTGGGACAGACAGCGCAGGTGAAGGAGCTGTGTCTCTGGGGCTCAGTCAGCTTTCACATCCCCAGTTCGTACTGCAGTTCGGTTAGTCAACAGCAGCACTGCAGGCAAAGCAGAAACCAGATGCTAGATCCCCTTGTTCTGCAGAGAATCACTTACAAGATGGAAGCATGTATTTTGGGGTTGCGTAATGGTCTGTGTACTCCTCTCTCCTGTCACTCCAAGCGATGGGTGTCTCTTCACGTGGCCTGCAGTAAGTGGTCGACTTGCTGCACAAGGTTGGCACTAAGTCCAATGCACATGTGCCTCTTGCTGGGTGTTGGGTTCTCAGCCTCATTAGGACCTGGAGTATCACAGACTTCAGACTTCAGAAGCAGTCCCCGTCCTCCATTTGGACGAGGCTGTGAGGTGTGTCCTCGGGGGCGGTGCAGCAGACGTGTGTGGCTTTCTCAGGTGCGCTTCTCCCAAGTGCGAGAAGAGAAAGTGGCAGAGGAGCGGAGCAAGAAAAAACTGTCGAAGAAGCATGGGGAAGCTGATGCACGGAAGCAGAAAGCACTGAGAGTGGTAAGAGCAACTGTAGGTCCCTCCTGCATGTAGAAAAGGAAAGGAGTAGCAGGGAACCCATGCACTGTTCTGACTGGTGGGACAGGGAAAGGTTACTGCCTCTCCTGCTGCAGGGATTTTAGGGTCTGTGCTGCAAGATTTCTGTCTAGACAGTTGATGTTGGGTTTGAACACAAGGGTACCTGTGAGGATAGAAGGGAGAGACTGCCCAACTGGTAGGCAGGCCATGGAGGGTAAGAATGAGATATAACTAGCACAGGTTTGTCAAAGCATTGGCTTCATATCCTCCTGTCTTTAGCCACTTGAGATGGAGGGTTACAAGAGTTTTCTTCTTTCTTCTTCAGGAGGAAGATGAATTTGAGCAGCAAGAACCACTGCAGAAAAGGAGAGAGGATGAAGTGAAAGAAAAAAGAAAGAAAGTCTTGGAACTGAAAAATCTTGTAGAGCAACCGCAGGTGGAACAAGTGAAGGAGAGGTATTGGCTTGTTTCTATACTGGAGGAGGGGACTTGGCAACAGGCGGGGTGAAGCAGTAAATATAAATAGTATTGCTGAAATTGGGAGACTGGTGTGAGTGTCAGGCTGTCCCAAGGGTTTGGGGTGCTGAAGCAAGAGGCTGTAAGAAAGCTGGGGAGGGGGGGCGGGCGGACATGCTTTCCTCTATAACTAAATGATAGGGTTTTTTCCCCCAGGGATCACAAACAGCAAGAGAAAGAGGAGGCCCTCCAACTGCAGCTGGAGTCAGCAGTGTTGTTTACTGAAAAAAACATAAAGGTGGGGAGTTGAAGTGGCCTTGGAACAACTTCTCTGTTGTAAATTAGTGAGGCATAGGATACACAGACTTCTTTTAAGATCAGACTCGTTTTCCAAGTGCTGTGTTACTGTATAAGGTTTTAATATTTGCTGTTATGTTATTTAGAGGAACAAATACAATAAAACCAATAACTAGCCAAACATGTTATTGTAAGGAGTTGGGGTTTGTGCAAGAATAAGCCAACTCTGTTGATAAAGTTGGGGTTGACTGTTTTCTTGTTAACAGGTGAGCCTTCTCAGCCCCATCACAAGATGGATGACAGCCATACAATGGCACTTTGAACAACACCTCCAAATGGCATTCACTGATACTTAAATGAATATGGAAATTAGTAAGAGTTTGTTTTTTCCTACTATATTCACTCACTGTATTTTGAGGATGTGATCCCCATAACAACCTTCGGGTATCATATGGCTTCAGGTAACTTCATTTGCACTTATACAAAGAATGTTATGGCTTAAAGTCAAGGCTGTTTGTCTCAAAACATCACAGTAACATTTTGTTTCCACTGCTACTCCTCTTAAGGATAAATTCCTCCTTCTGAGTTTGCTCTTGCTGCTCTTATTCACTAGGTCCATGACATTCAGACTCCTATTTGTGAGATAGATAGATATAGAGATATAGAGATATATACATGCTAACTATAATTTTAATGAAGGTCTAAAATCTTCATATGTTGCCAGCACTGGGCTGGAGTGAGCCACAGCAAAGTTCCTCTAGATAAGAGAGAAGTTGAATACAATTCAAAGTGCCTGCAGCTCTTGCCGTCCTGTTAGCTCTTCCCTACTGAGTAGTATGGGAGAAGAAACTCCTGGAAAAAGTGTTTGGGTTGAAAAGGAGCTTAAGCAGTGACAATTTTTTCTCCTTATCAGGAGGAAGAGAGCCCAAAAGAGCAGCACCAGCTGCCTGGGCAGAAGAGAGACAAACAACTAGAATCCATTGCTGTGGCTTCTAATACCTGGCTCAAAGCCGTAAAGGTGAGTGTGGGCTCTAGAAACCTTGTTGGTCTGGATCTCAGCAGACAGGAGTGGCTTTATCTTTGAGTCTTGGGTTTGGTTTTTCTTCTGCAGAAGACACAGAGGGACTGAGGATTTTTTGCAAGGGCCCCAGAAAATATGGGTCGGTTCCAGAGGTAGTCTGGTTGTTATGCTTGGGTGAACATGAATGAAGAATGACTTAATTCTTGCGTCTTAACAGGAGGAAGGTGGTCTGCAGCAGTCCCAGCAGCACCTGGGAGAGGAGGAAAAAATCAAGCAACCAGAAGCATTGACTGCTGCCTCTGGCACATGGCTGAGCAAAACCGTAAAGGTGAGTCCTGGTTCCAGCAGAGCCCTCAAACAAAATGAGTCTGTGGTGTCTAATTGGCTCCTGTGGTTTGGAGCCAGCCTGCAGATTTATTATCCATCAGTGATGGAGCAGGAAATGAAGTCCTCAAGTGTAGGCTGTTGGGGTTTAACAGGTGTCTGTGCAGAGGATGGGGCTGTCTGTCGTCTTGGATGGTTGGCCGAGAGCTCAGCACAGGGGGAACCTGAAGGAAAAAAGTGTGTTACCTTGGAAAAGATGTTGGAAATGGCCACAGGATGGCAGCACATCATGAGGTGTCAGCTTAGCCTGGAGCGGCAGTGTAGCAGCCCTGATTCCGGCCTGCTGGTGAAGTCTGGCTGTTGCGTCTCCAGGAGCCTGTTTGATTTGGAGCTGCTTAGACCTGATAACTTGAGGGGTGGAGAAAAAGTCGCTCAGAGTCAAACAGACTTGAGTACTGCCTCTGCCGGTAAACTCTCTTGTCTTGGGGCCGACAGACTCCTCTTCCTGCTCGACTTCTCTGTGCTGTGACTCATGTCAGAGCTCTAGGGAATGAAAACCAGATCTGCCATGAAACTTGTGAAGGGGTTTGAGTGGTAGAACCACATGTGCAAAAGCCAAGTGCTTAGACACACATGGTGTGTTCTTCTAAGGCTTTTCTACAAGAAACAGGAGGGGAAAAGGTTAAAAGTAGTTATCAAATCACTGAGCACAGTGACAGGTTTTGTATTTGTACAGATGTCTGTATACTTCTGCATTCCCTCAATGCAAAGAGTTCTGCAGAATTAGGCTTGCCTTCCTGGTTTATTCGCTGGTCAGCACCTCTAGGTACTCCTGTACTACACACAACTGTCAGGTTTTCTAGTCATCCCTGTCCCTCACCACAAAGCCAGGACGTGTCTCCGAGCTTTGGCTTGCGCTGTTCTGACCTGCAGCTTCAACGTGAAATGGAGCCCTGGCTTCTTTCTGGCCGGTACTGGCAGGCCCTTCCTGGCAGCTTGGAAGCTGCAGGGTAGGCAAGCGGCTGTTTCAGCTCTGCAGTTTACAGTCTCTGCTGCAGTACACAGTCCCTTGCTACAGCTTGGCTATCGAGGGGCCATGGTTTTGAAGCAAAGTTCAGTTAAAAAAAAGCCAAAAGGATTTGAGCACTTCTGGGTTTTACTGAAAATCTCAACCCAGGTTACCTGTCAAGTAGGAATACTATAGATGTACAGTTAATGTGTAGATCAAAGGCTTCCCATACACAGGTAGGTGACCTTTTTGGCTCTCCTGTTTTTTGAACTAGGGATGAAAATGAGTGTGAATGATGCATCTGCTTTAGAAAGTCAGCTGTCAGCTCTTGTTTCTGGCTACCTTCCCTTTACAGTGAAGTTCCTTGCCCAGCATGTGGCATTGGGAACTCACCTCTTAACTCACGGCTTGTGCTCAGTGTGAGGGTACTGCCTGAATACCTTAACAGCATCTTGCAGTGGGATGTGAGCTGCGACCTTAGAACAGTCTGTTCGTCTTGCTGGTGCCAGAGCTTTGGGGTGCCTGCAGAGGGTCAGATGGCATGGGTCTGGTAGTCAGCCTGCCCCGGCAAGGCAAGCTCTCCCGCCAGACTGGAAGGTCTGCTTCCTGCTCTAATCAGTGCTGTCTCTGGTTTCAGAAATCTATCTCCACATCCTACTTAGGGCCCCCGAAGGGCACAAAGGAATCCAGATCCCCAAAGGTAAATGAAAATAACTACGGGATGGATCTGAACAGCGATGACTCCACAGATGATGAGAATGAACCTCGGAAGCCTGTCCCTGCCTGGGCTGAGGGTAGGTGCCAAGTGTGGTTTGGTTTCCTTTGATTCCTTCCCTGGGAAGCTGGAGCTTTCCAGATGCACTTGGTGCCATCTCAGCTTCCCCAAAGTGCAGTCCAGGAGCGTGTGAGACTTCAGCAGTGCTGGCAGCCTGCTGGCTCTGAGTGGTAAGGGGGAGTGGAGCTGCTTTCCTGCAAGTGCTGTTGTGTTGAAGTTAAGCCAAAGACCTCTGTGCATGTGTTTAGATCCAAGGGCGTGAAAAGAATGGTGGGGGCTCGCTGGTAATGAGGCAGCCCATTCTCCTGAGGGAGACCAAGGTGTGGTGGGTTTATGATATGTCTAGTGTGCTGAATAACTTAAAACAAGTGCTGTGGCAACCTGAAGATGGGTGTGGGGTTCAAAGCTTTGCAATGAGCAGGAAAACTGTTAATCACACTCACTGTACAGGTAATAGTTTTTCAGGCATAAAACAAGCGCTGTGGCAACCTGAAGATGGTTTGCAAATGAGCTCAAAGCTTTGCAATGAGCAGGAAAACTGTTAATCACACTCACTGTACAGGTAATAGTTTTTCAGGCACGGAAAAAGAGTAACTGTCCTGCAGGCTCTAAGGGAAAGGGCACCTTAAGTAGAGCACTGAAGACTTATTTATAATGAGTCTGCTTCTCTGATATGGTTGTTTCCATAGGGTCTCAGCTTAATCAAGCCATTTTACACCAATACTATCACCCAGTGAACATTGACCAACTCTTTGGCCTAATTCCAAGCCCTAAACTGGAGGATATTTTTGGCAAGAGCAAACCTCGATACTTCAAGCGCACAAGCTCAGCAGTTTGGCATTCCCCGCCTGGGACCAAATCTACCTGTGGCCCATCTTGCAACTTCAAAAACTGAGAAAATGCAAAGAAATGTGTTTTACGACAATATGGTGTATCAGTTTGTGTTTTCTTAGCATGCAGCATATTTACAATTTTAAGCTTTTTTTTTTTTGTACAAGAATAAAAATGTTGAATAAAATCCTGTTGCAATAAACACTCTATCAGTGTTTTTCTCTTTCCTTTCCCCCACCATGGTGGGATGATGCTTCTGGATGGTTGATCTGAGATCAATGGCTGTGGTTTCTGCAAGTGAAAATGCAGATGTTTGAAGACATCATATTGCACCATTACGTATTTCCTCAGACTTCTTGCACAAGGAAGCTATGACATTGCTATAGGGAAGATCAAATTTTTTAATCAACTTGAGGGGGTAATGTTTTCATAACACATTCTGTACTTCACTGCTTCTATCTGCAGGTAGTTTTCCTTCAAGAATTCTTGAAGGAACTCTTGTTGCTCTGAGCCAGAATCTTTTTCCTGCAGTTAGAAAAATCTGCTTGGACAGTTTAAGCAATGTCTAAATGTCTTGTCACTGTTCTTTTCTAATGCAAAAATGAAGCCCAGGCTAAGTTCTTGGTCCTGTTTTTCTAGGAGACTTCAGCGTACAGTCTCGCTTGGGCAGGAGGCAGATTTACTTGGAAGTTGTGGCTTGGAAAGGGTAAGCAACAAAATTCTTTCCTTAGGACTGTTTGTTTCACCTGCTGAGTGCTCCCCTGCCCGTGTACACCCTGGGACGTGCGTAGTGGCAGCAGGCATCTCCTGGCTCCTGCAGCACATCCCGAGCCCTGGGAAGCGGTTGCCTGGGGACTGCTGGGGCATGCTGGGGCGGCTGCGGAGCGTCCCAGGGCCCCGCAGAGCTGCGTGGGGACAGCTGCGCACCCGAGCTGTGTCTTGGCTGCCCTTACAGCCCCTGGAGGGCTAGCCGGTGCAGACAGCGGCATTCCAAGAGCCATTTGGCTAACTAAACCCTGCTGACAGTAGCGATGAGGAAGATGCTTAGATGAAAAGGGAAAGTCCCCGAGTCAGAGTCAAGTCCCACACTTGCCATAATAACTTTTCCTTCCTCTTTCTTCAGTTCTTCCCTCTTAGGCTGTGCTGTCTAGCACAAACGTGAACAGAGCGAAGGGACTGTCCCGCCTTAGGTGACGTGATGTGTTGCTCTGGGATCCCTTGTGCAGGTACAGGGCTGGGGCTATTTACTTTCTCTGCGTGATCAGAGCTATGAGCCTGTCCTCATGAGGAGGAGGGTCCCTGTCCCTGGCTGGTGCAGCCCTGCACTGGGCTGGTGCCATAAGGTCTCCTTTGCCCTGACCTTCAGGTGCAGACTTCCAAGAGTGAATACAGAAACGTGGCCATGGACCTGTTCAGAGCTCTCCAGGCCTGCTTACCTCCATTCAGAGGAGGTTTCAAGCTGGTCAGAGTGGTTTTGTGGAGCTTTACGTCAGGCTTGGAGGGTTTTGAGTAGTTTAGAAGAGTTTGCAAGTGTCTCAGTGGAAGAGTCTTGCGGGCAGTTAGAGCTTGGGATGAGTCTTTAGAGCTTTGAGCTCTGCAGAGCTGGTGACAGCAGTAGAGATGAGCTTTGCAGAGGCACAGGGGAACTCGGAGTGCGTGAGCAGAGCTCTATAGCAGCTAAGGGCTATTTAAAGCTGCTTGCCAGGAGCTCCATCCTGGCTATAGGATTGCCCCCCGGCTATGGGGTCCCCCCCAGATTTTCTGTTCATCTTGGGCTCCCTCATTGTCCCACTGGATGTCTGTGGGGCTCTCGGGGACTCTTGCTCTTCTGGCTGGTCCCCTTGAGCTCTCTGGGGTTATCTCGGTGTCTTTTGGGCTCTCTTCAGTCCCTCCAGGATTTCAGTGTCCCTCAGGTCTTGCAGCCTCTCTCAGGAGTGTTACCCAAAGGAATAACACATAAGGTACAAGACACATCTGACATAGTTTTTACTGAAAGAGGCTGAGCCCGTTGGAGGGGAGACATGCTCAGATCAAACGATCTGTACCCAGGGGTACAGATCCTCCTTGCCACCTCCTCATCAATGCACTGAGTTTTGGGGGCACTGACTGCTCTCCCCAGGGCAGCAGCAATCGCAGGGTCCAGCTGGTCCCACGGCTCTGGTGGTCACCCCTGCACATTCCCACCTCTCTCCTGCTCCCGCTGCTTCCTCTCACGCAGGGTGCTGCAGAGCTGATTTCAGCTGATGTGGCAACACCCTCGCTTTGTCTTTCTTGGATTTGCTGGGGTCTTTTTGGCCTCTGGCCCTCCTGGGTTCCTCTGGACTACCTTGGTTCAGCCCTCTGGGGCTCTCCTGGATTCACCTGGGCTTTCCTGGTCTCTCTGGAGCTCTCTTAGTATCACTTGATCTCCCTGGAGGTTTTTTCCCCCAGTTTCTTTGAGCTTTCTCGGACTCTCTTGTCCTCTCTCACTAGTGGCTTTCTCAGGTGCTTTCAGGGTGGCCGTGGCACATCTGAGCTTTCTTAATCTCTTGCAGACTGCCTGGGATGCTCTTGTGTTGCCTGTTTCCCCAGGCTCTCCTGGGCTATTTCAGGCTCCCCTGGTGCTCTCAGGCTCCCCTGAGCACAGACTCCAGCTGTTCCCTGCCAGCTGGCTTCTGTCCCTCATGATAATCCTCAAATTACTTCGTTAGACATTGCCAAGGAGGCATGGATTTCCGGACCCTGGCAGAGGATGGGAGCTGGAGGTCAGGCTCTCATCTGGAGCTGGCTAGAGGTGCCTGGCTGCAGGAGGATCGAGGTTTGCTGGCAGGAGGGAATGGGGCCCGTCAGTCAGCATCGTGCTTGGGGATGAACGGGTTTCGTTTCAGCCTCACGCTGGCGCAATCAACAGCCACCAAACTACAGGCTTGCTGTTCTGGCGATGAGCAGAAGTTCCCAGGAGGGCCCCTGCCGAAACCACAGCTGCTGTCAGAGCGTTTCCAGTCCGGGACAGGTAATCAACAAAAGCCTTGAAGCAATTTTGGAGGATGTGAAATTGGCTGGGCCAAGAAGTTGGCGGAGCCCTGCCAGGCTGCGAAGGGACCTGGGAGGTCTGGTCCCCTGTGCAGCCCCCCTTCGGACATCAGGCCGGTGCTGGAGGCTGGGAGCTGGCACTGTCACCTCTCCTTCTCTGTATTCCCGGAGCCTGGGGAGGGGAGCTGCCGCTCCCGCCGCCTGCAGGGCTCTGACGAGGGCTGAGCGGGACCGGGCTACGGGGACAGAGTATGGTCCCAGGTGTCACCTCTGCAGACACAGGGATCTGGAGCTCAGGATTGGGGCTGAGAGCCAGAACTGGATCGCAGGGGAGGAAAAGAAGCATTGTTCTTACCCAAGGTGAGAGCTGTGCTGGTCCCCAGTGTGACCGGGAAGTTTAAACTGATTTGTGCTTCATCCATCCAACTCTCTGCTCAGCTGCATAGCGGTGCTCCTAGTGATGGGAGAGAAACCAGACCATGAGCCTGGGTACCATCCCTGGGGCCTGCCCGCACCCTGGCAGGGTCCTGGGGCATTGCTGCTGACACAGGAGTGAGTGGAAATGTCACCGGGTGACGAGATTTCTGGGAGGGCATCTTTATTTAACATGAGTATAACATGAGCATTCTTCACAATAAATAAATGGCCAAAAAGGAGAGGGAGAAGACCTTCTTGGAAACTACAGTATCAGACAGAAATACAGAAACCCTCATCAATAGACAAATCACAATGAACAAACCATGGGTAGTGAATAAAATAAAAGTCTCAGCTCCAGCTGGTGATTCTTATGTTCCTCAGGAGGATCAGCCAGAGCCTGCCCACACATGTTGGAAGGTGCTTTCAGCACTGAAAGGACCTCTCATAAATAGAGAAAACATCTCCCAGACCCCTTATCTCCTCTTAACACACATGCAAGCTCCGTCAGTGAGCCACCAGGCCAGAGCCCCTCGCTGAAGCGAGTCCTGCTTGTCAAATGTATCCTATATTCAGGTTGGGTTTTACTTCTTTCAGAGCAGCCAGCTTCTGTAATGTCTCTCCATTTAATCCAGATTTCTTCAGCCTTTGCAGAGAAGAAGGAAAAAGGTTAAATCCACCCAAGCTATTGTCTGTTGGCCATGACATTGCACAGCCAAAAAAAAAGGACAAAAAGCGGCCGGCGTGGGTTTTTTTCTGGTGTTGTCTGACTCCTGTCCTAGTCAGCTTTTTCTGCTTCAGCAAGCAGAGGCTAGGGCTGGTCCATGTAGCCCTCTCGGTTGGGTCACCACAGCTCCACCAAGGCACTGGGCACCCGGCAGGGTCCTGCCCTGGCAGCCAGAGTTGGGCTCCATGGTCCCAGCGTTCACTTGGCTGGGTCAAGGCAACCCCTGCCTTGCCTCTGCCTGCCACGCCGGGCAAGGAGTTGGCATCGGCAGGAAAGAAAGCTGCCGTCACATGGAGCAACAATCTCTGCTGCCTGCTTTGCAGCTGATGAAACACATCCCCCCAGTTTTGTGCATTAGCAGCACGTCCCGAGACATTACCAACCGCTTTAGGAAGGCGGTAGGTCTAACCACACTAATTCCAGAAGTCAGCAGCTGGTAGGGCTGCAGGGGGACGGCAGGGCAGCTGCCTGCTAGCTGGCAGGAGGCAGCGCCAGCTCCGGCTGCCGGCACGGTGCTCTCCAGATTGAGCCGCCCGGCACCCCACCGACCCGAGACGCCTTTGGAGCAGCAGTAGCTTCACAGAAAACATTCTCCCACCTCGTAGGGCAGGCTGGGAGCCGCGGCGTGGGGAGGCTCATGTCATACTTGGTCTGTCCCGGTACCCGCGGGGAGCAGCCCTGTGGCCAAAGGAGCTGAAAGTCCCTTACCACAGCCTCTGCAAGAAGCAGGTGGGATGCCCGAGCGCCTCGCACAGCAGCTGCGCGCCGCCATCTCCCAGGTCGTTCTCGCTCAGGTCCAGATGCTCCAAGCTGCAGCCGGTGCTGAGCACGGCGCAGAGGTCCTCGCAGCAGGCGCCGGTGAGGCCGCACTGCCACAGGCTGCCAC